GTTCAATATTACAGCCGCCGTGAAGAAAAGCTTAGATTATCAAGATTACGAAAAGTGTCTGAAGTAGAAATGAAATTCACGGCTAATTTAAATGTGTCAATGATTTATTTGGCTTTAAAGCGACGTGTCGCGCTGCTCTGAATCCAGCATCCATCAAAATTTTGCACCTGGAGTTTACGAAACTGAACACGAAGAAAGTACGATTTTTCCCGCACATTACCATTGATTATTCAAGTTTTCTACGCAAAATCACGCAAATTAAGGAGCAATGTTCGTTATCACATTCATTATTATTTTAGATTCCAATAAGCGCGCCATAGCATAGTGCGGTTAATAACGTTATTGAGGAGGGAGGATTGGAACTGCATCCCGTGGCAGGAGATTGAAAAGAATAGTAAGCAGTGTCACTTAAAATTCCAGCAATCCTCATCAAACATGTTGAAAATTCTGTGCGGAAAAAATTAATTTTAGCAAAATATTGTCGAAAAAGTATGAAAATAATGGATAAAGTTCTAGCCAGTTCTACTAAAGTAGTGTTTACCACGTAGCCTGGGGATGATCGGCTGATCGAAATACACTGGGGGAAAAAAAAAAAAAAAACATTGGATCTAGAGTCCAGACTCTTGAAAGCATTGTCAAGAAAAAATACTCTTGATTCAATCAGATTCTTGCTTAAATCAAAAGGAAATCCGCTCACATTAAAAGGCTTGGTTCTTGATTAAAGCAAAAATCCGATTGAATCAAGAGTATTTTTTCTTGTCGATGTTTTCATGAGTCTGGACTCTTGATCCGATGTGTTTTTTTTTTCTTGCAGTGTAGCTATCGCTAACTAAAATCTACAACCAAGTGATCGGGAAAAAAAAGGTAAAATCAAAAATCCAAAATGCATCCCGATAAAAAGAGCTTTAACTTCAGATAAAGTTCGATTCAGATATGAATAATTTCCTGGAGGGAGAGATAAGCACGGGTTAATGCTATTGGTGCGTTAGGAAGACTAATCGGGAAACGTGCGTGGCGTAATTTTTAGTGCAGTCTCTTTGTGACAACGCCTGAAGCTGACACCATTTGGAGCTCACAGTGAGCGAAAAACCGCAGTGTCGCGATAAGGGATGGTGCGGGGCGCGAAGTGCAAAAGTGGAAAGCTTTCAGCGCGTCACGTATCGGTCAAGAAGGACGGGAAAAAAGAAGGCCGTCCATTACCAAAATGACCGCGGGCCCATAATCAAATCATCGTGGCAACAACCAGCACCCACCCCGCGTGCCCCCTCCTCCACGGTGACGATCGTGTAGAATAAAAGCTCCTCGATGAGTTTCACACGCACAGCTTTTGATCGCAAAAGCTTCCTAAAAAGAATTAGGGCACCCCGGACTTTTAACGTTGCGGCCGAAGTTCAGATTTTTGACCAATTGAAATCTCTTTCATGGCAGTTATTTGATTCTCACGCTAATTGTGACCTTTCAACAGAATTAGGAAAGCTTGATTTTTTACCTTCACTGGAAAAGAAAACACATTGGCTCTAGAGTCCAAACTCTTGAAAACATTGACAAGAAAAAAGACTCTTGATTCAATCGGAGTTTTGCTTGAATCAAAACGAAATCCGCTTCAGAGGCTTGGTTCTTGATTTAAGGTAGATTCTGATTGAATCAAGAGTTCTTTTTCTTGTCGATGTTTTTAAGAGTCGGGACTCTAGATTTTTTTTTTTAAATTTTAGGCAAACATTTTGTTTCATACGGACAGGGAACTTGTCTATTACATGTCTGCAAATAGTGAACGTAGATTTTTTCTTTATTTTCATTGATACTTTAAATATATCCTAACATGTACAATATTTAATCAGGAATAAGTATTTCATTGTCCATAAATTTAGATGCCTATTTGAGTTCCAGGTCTTTCTCAGAGAAAAGACAGCTACAAACCGAGGTTCTACTACAGGTCCATGGACAAATGGAATTTTAGAGAGTCGTCGAAACGCGTAGATTTGACAACGTTCAATGGTACGCCTGTGACGCCATGTTAAAAAATTATTCACTTTCTGTTCTAGGGGTGGATCTCGTCAATTTCGTGTTATTTTTTCGTGTTCTTAGTTGACTTTTTCGTTATTTTGAGTTTTACCAATTTTTTTAAATTCATCTGACAGCTTATTGAAGCTACCAGATCTGGCAGAACCTCATTTTGAACTGCGCGGCAAAAACGGTGCGACTTGCGACGTCACTCGATGGCCTGTATTCGCAGAGCTGCCATGCCACTTCGGCACCCCGTTTTAGGGTGTGCCTTATTTTTGAGTTTTGCGAAAATCAAGTTAGTCAACCCCTAAAAAGTTTCTATGTAGTCTCTAAATGAACCCCCTAAAAGGAAAAAATTGTAAAAAAATTTTAACCCGTGCCTCAAAGGGCCTAAAGGGCCTAAACCCAAAATTCAAAAATTTTGGCAAGCGACACATCAATTCTGAAGGAAAATGGCAAGTTACGGCCCTTTTAGGGCAGAAATTTCGTCCGTTTTGCCGTATCTTGAAGCGTAAGGTCACAAACGGCCCAATGACGACGTGAGGCTATGGGCTGGCGGGGCGCGCCGCGGCCGGCCCGCCGCTGAGCGTGCGCGCGCGGCAGGGTTGCGTATCGCCGCTTTACAACGGCGTAGAGGAACGAACGGTGGGGTGGGAGGGGGATATCCAGTGGAAAAGCATCCACATTTTCTATCCATATTGAAAATGCATTATACTTTTTCAATATAGATGAGGAAATATGAGCCATACAAGGAAGTGATGAAAAGAGTGACAAATACATATATAGTTTGTACGGTTAGGAGTGTAAGTGGGGAAAATTTGCCATAACTACAGAACAGCCCTGAAAATCTCCGGGAAATAAAAGCTGCTATTGATGAGAGGTTTGCATGAGAGGTTTAATTAAGGACTAATTAAAAAGATAGGTGCGATGTTGTCGAATCGTAAGCCCTTTACGCGATCAAAAGCGATTAGTGTAAATTTAATTGGAAAAGTTTAAGAAAAATTTGATGAAAGAAAATTGCCCCAAATTCTGGAAGTGCTTAAAGTGTTTTTCTATTATGTGAAGTTTTCGCACATTAATGTCAATGGCGGTGCGTCAAAAACCTCTGATCTTGTAATTCCAATATGGAATGAAAAATGTAGAATCCCTGTGATACATAGTGTCCATGTTTTTAAAAATGTTTACATTTTTATGAGGAGTGGAGGCGCGTATCAAAAAATGCTAGCCGTCGATCGCTGGTTCAAGAGAATTTGGAGACTGATTTTACGGCAAAAATCGACGTGTTATTCGACATTGCTTTATGCAATACTCTAGATATCATGGAAAATGAAGAGGATAAAGCATGTTTAATTCTTCAACGAAAACCTGGATGAGAATGCATAATATCCACAGTGAAGGATACTATCCTTGCAGCAGAGGTGAGGAGAGCAGACAAGAAGAAAGCTCGCGCCCAGGAGAGAGTTTCTCGACAGGAAAAATTCACGCTCGCTAATGAGTCCCGCCAAACGGAAGAAAATAGGTTTTTTCATTTCATATGAAATTACTGAAGGTTTGATACATCAATAAGACTTTGTTTACCCTCCTTTTCATTGGTGTATTTGACGCGGCATCAATTAGAAAGTTTTATTCAATCGGTTCAATCTGGCTTCGCCAACTTACAGCTGATGTTGATTGCCTGGCCTCACCCACGGGGCTAAATGACACATTAGCCTCATTTACTCAAATCTTCCCCAGTAGCCGAGTGGTCAAGGGCATTGCCCACGGTTATAAAGAGTGGGGTTCAAACCCCAAATTAAATCATATTTTTTCGAGAAACTAATATTACATTTTTGATTATAGCAAGTAACTGTGGCGGGGGGGGGGGGGGGGGGGTTCAGTACCAGAAAATGTAAGTGGGTAAGCCATATTGAACCTCTCGAATTAAACTTTCTAATTGATGTCACGTTAAATGCACTAATGAAAAGGTGGGTGGATGAAACATAGACACTATGTATCACAGGGATTCTACATTTTTCATTCCATATTGGAATTACTGCCATTGACATTCATGTGCGAACACTTCACATGATAGAAAAACACTTTAAGCACTTCCCGAATTTGGGGCAATTTTCTTTCATCAAATTTTTCTTAAACTTTTCCAATTAAATTTACACTAATCGCTTTTGATCGCGTAAAGGGCTTACGATTCGACAACATCGCACCTATCTTTTTAATTAGTCCTTAATTAAACCTCTCATGCAAACCTCTCATCAATAGCAGCTTTTATTTCCCGGAGATTTTCAGGGCTGTTCTGTAGTTATGGCAAATTTTCCCCACTTACACTCCTAACCGTACAAACTATATATGTATTTGTCACTCTTTTCATCACTTCCTTGTATGGCTCATATTTCCTCATCTATATTGAAAAAGTATAATGCATTTTCAATATGGATAGAAAATGTGGATGCTTTTCCACTGGATATCCCCCTCCCACCCCACCGTTCGTTCCTCTACGCCGTTGTAAAGCGGCGATACGCAACCCTGCCGCGCGCGCACGCTCAGCGGCGGGCCGGCCGCGGCGCGCCCCGCCAGCCCATAGCCTCACGTCGTCATTGGGCCGTTTGTGACCTTACGCTTCAAGATACGGCAAAACGGACGAAATTTCTGCCCTAAAAGGGCCGTAACTTGCCATTTTCCTTCAGAATTGATGTGTCGCTTGCCAAAATTTTTGAATTTTGGGTTTAGGCCCTTTAGGCCCTTTGAGGCACGGGTTAAAATTTTTTTACAATTTTTTCCTTTTAGGGGGTTCATTTAGAGACTACATAGAAACTTTTTAGGGGTTGACCAACTTGATTTTCGCAAAACTCAAAAATAAGGCACACCCTACCCCGTTTGTCCATACCATGTAGTAGAGTGTACCTTGGCTGTAAACGACACTAACGCATTCCTTTTTCCCACTTAATTTTTGGTATAAGATAGTTTTCTGAAATTTTCATGCAAAAAATATTGGTACTTACATCTACATTAATGCCCTCGTAAGGGAATATCTTGGTGGACGGCTTCTCTGTTGGGGAGTACCTATAGAACTCGTGCCTTCCACGGTACCATTTGACCGAATAGAGGGGCGCCCCATCCTCTAACTCGTACTGGCAGAAGAGAGTCGCCTCGTGGCCTCTTTGTACGATGGAGGGGTTTATTTGCAAATTCACATCACGAAGACACCCACAACCTGAAACAAAAACCCAAGTCCATCTCATCAAATTTCGATACATATAAGTACTTAAAGTAAATTATTTGTTGGCAAACAGAAAATTTAAATTCACCAACAAGCAAACCGCATTTTTCGTTTAAAAAAAATATATCTTCTTACTGAAATTTAAACCCATAAAGCTGGTCCATTGTTGACTACGAAACCGACAAAATTTCAGCTTGAGTGCAACGAAGATAATTGAAATTTAAAAATTGTGGCTGATAATTGAAATTGATAGATAAAGCGATCGACAAAGAAGGCAAAGGTAAAATAAAGCAATTCAATTGGTTGAAAAGGGTGGCATACAACCGAGGGGAAAAATTATAGACTGACTTAAATGTTTTTCGTGGATTGTCGTCAGTTAGTCAATTAATTGCCTCCTTTGTCCACTATGACCGCCCATTTCCATCAACAGGATCGCTCCATCTTCCCTTTTGTCTTCTTTGTCTGTCACTTTGCCTATCAATTTCAATAATTAGCTCGCAGTCAATGTCTACTCACGACGAACACAGAAAAAAATGGATGGTGCTGGCGACAGAACCTTTTGTTCATACGGCTCCCACAGTTTTTTTGTTACACTTACAGAACTTTCTGTCGTGGGAACAGAGTACTCTGTTCCCACGACAGAAGTTCTGTTCTCACAACAGAAAAGTTCTGTAAGTGTAACAAAGAAACTGTGGGAGCCGTATGAACAAAAGGTTCTGTCGTCAGCACCAGCCATTTTTTTCTGTGAAGAGTCCATCTCTTAAGTGGTCGCCTCTTCCCTATTATTGGTCCGAGCAGTGTCATGATAGAATAGTAAGATAAGCATACTCGAGAGAGTGCACGAAATTTTTATTTGCAGAACGGTGTCAGTCCGATGGGACATTCCAAAATTACAACCGACAGCTTACAGGACTACATTTTGCTATGAGGAACTACTATTTCTGGGTCATTCTGGGGAATGACGAATGCGCCATTAGTTTCCCTGTGCAGATATGCACTTTTACAGATGATTCCGAAATCGTAGTACCTTACTGCAAAATGAAGTCCTGCTATCATACGCGCTTTGGAAATCATTAAATTTGACAAGGAACGACTATTATACTTACAAAAAACGCATTATATTTTCCAGTAGTACATATTTCTTTTTCATCAGTTTAAAAGGGAATAATCAATGCAGAGAGTGCAAACATTTCAAAATCATGAGTTGAAAAACGCTGACTCCGCGAGTTTAAATATTGGAGCCTAACACAGAGCGGAGCGGCGTGTTAGCAGCGCAGAACGCGCACTGGCTCCTACAAACCTAACGGGATACTTCACGAGTTGCGCAACGCGTGAAGTATCCCGTTAGGTTTGTAGGAGCCAGTGCGCGTTCTGCGCTGCTAACACGCCGCTCCGCTCTGTGTTAGGCTCTAATATTTAAATTCGCGGAGTCAGCGTTTTTCAACTCATGATTTTGAAATGTTTGCACTCTCTGCATTGATTATTCCCTTTTAAAGTGATGAAAAAGAAATATGTACTACTGGAAAATATAATGTGTTTTTTGTAAGTATAATAGTCGTTCCGTGTTAAATGATTTCCAAAGCATTCAAAAATTCATTCAAGCATTCATAATGAACACCGGGCTCTATGTTAACATTTACCATATTATAGTAAGTATCAGAAGAGTTCTGGTGAATACTACTATCATTCTGGTTATTTCACTAAATAACATCACTGTGTAAAAACTCAAGTAGACTTATAGTAGACACTACCATACTTTTTTTTCAGTGAATGGGAGCCGCGAGATAAACAGCTGAACCAAAGCAGGTATTATCAAATTCATTGTATAATGGGGAGCGTTAAAGGCTCAATTAACCGCGAAAAGCTTGGTCTTACATGAAACGACTTCCCAGACACTTACGTAAAGAGATTCGCGGAAGTTGAACGCGGATTTTACACGAAGTTGTAATCCAAGTTTCGTTGGCTGAATGGAATTGATTTCCCATAAATTCGTGCTTTGACTGCTCCACCGCATCGCGGGCGCGGGCCGGTCCACGGCGCAAAGAAAGGGAGCATGTTCCCCCCGGCAATAAATATAAATAATTCCTCTTAATTTCATCGTAATGTTCCTGCTTATAAAACTTACGGGGAAAATATGCTATTGTTTTATGGGACGTGATTCCTGTGCATCTAAGCTCGCTTCGTGGCCCTGAATGAACCCTGCACGTTTAAGAAACTCACCGTCTCAAGTTATATGCGTTATTTAATTTATGGGAGAAAAAGCGGAGTTCCTTTCTTCCTCCTTTTTTCGTCGCTGCGATTGTTGTTGCATTGTCATCGTAGCTCCTCGTTTTTTTTTCGCCTCTTACATCCTATTTTCGTTGCTCTTTTCCGCGAATTTAAGACCTCGTGGACAGTTTGTTTTATGTCGCTACCGCTCTATTTTTTATGCTCAAATCGAATGAATTTCCTTGCATGTAAACTTGTACCGCGAGATGTCAACACGATTGCCGGGCGGTGACCGGTTTGATGCTTTTTCGGGAGAGGAGGGTTGGGGCGCGGCCATGGCTGGCAACAGCAGGTCTCATTAAAAACTTTGGAAATTATTTGTTTCCGGGTCTTGAAGCATTTCGTCGGAGACTCCGCGGACCAAGTTTTCACAACTTATGACGCAGTTTCACTTTTTTATTTGTCACAAAAACATGAGACAGAGCTTGCTGGTTCATTTAACGATCCTGATTTTAAAGTTACGGCTCTCGCGAAGCGTGGAGCAGGACACTGAGATTAGGTGTGTGCGGTGCCTTTTGCCCTTGCCGAATCCCGCCGCCGCCCGCCCGCGCCGCGCCGCGCCGTTGCGCTCGCGAGCACGTAAAACATGTGCAGCTTGCATGAGTCGTGATTTCGGGTCGTAGCCGTGCAAAACTCCCTAAATTTATTTTCCAATTCCTCCAGGCGGTGCTCCGTCATAATTTCCTAACTTTTCTTTCCGAAAAACTTGTTATTACAGACTAGCATATTTCACATTCCTAACAGATAAAAATATCAAAGCTCCATGAATCCTCATTTGGGCGTTGTTCTTCGTGAAAGGACACAAGGATATCAGATGCTTCCTGTTCATACAGGATGATTTAATTGTGTACAAAGGAAGAATCAAATGCCGATTCGTTGGAGTATTTTTTTTTGCCATGATTGCCCTTGAAACTCTAAAACGAATAGATACAACTATTAGGCTTTGTCCACGAGCGAATTGTTCCCGCAACTTTGGTAGAATAAGTTACCGTCTGCGAACAGAAAAAACGGTGAAAGACGATGCGCGGCTCAAAGTTCCGAATTTTTCCCGGCAAAGTTTCGCGAACCGTTGTTCGTGTAGACAAGGCCTTCCCGTCAAAAAATAAATTGTCATTTGAAATTTGGCAAGTGTCACTTGGTTTCTTTTCAAGAAATTCTGCCCGTTAGTGATGGCTTTAAGCAAAATTTGCCTACGGATCAATTCAAATATCGATTACAGCAAAAGCCCATTTTAGTTAAAAACACAGCTATTCAGTTTTCGATGCTTAACGCTTGCTAACACTTTCGAGCCCATTGATTCAAAATTTTAGGTCACAACGCACCAGAAGAATAGCCTCTTATCAAATCAGAAGAGAATACTTTAACGCCATTACAGTTCACCTTCAATTTCTTATGCAGGCAACACAAGTTCTTACGTGGTCGAATAGTGGTATTATCCTCCAAATAAGAGTCGATCTCCGTTGGCGAATTTGTGGTGGATACGATCAATTTTGTTGCGATCGCGTCAAATTATTCAGATTTTTGAATAGTGTGCCTCTAGATGTCGTATGAAAGAACGATTCGATTCTGTTTTCAATAGCGTATAAGTTGAACCAAAAAACGGTCAGTAACGTAAGTGCTCCTTTTGGCGCTTCTCCTCTCCGCGTCCACAAACTTTTTTTTCACATTTCCCGTGCGGGTAAGAAAAGATGAAAAAAAGAAGCAGAAAGAAATTAAAGGAGAAATAAAAATAATAAGAGATCGAGAAGAGTCGAATGAAACTGAAACGTGAAGCAATCGACATAGATTCGATCGAGAAATTGTAGTAAAACAGGTTCGTTTTATTTTTTGATCGAAGCAAATTCAGTCTGTTACCTCGGTTACTCCATCACTTATGAAAGGGATAATTATCGTGACCTCAGAAAAGGCTTTCCGCTAGTATGTGTCACTCAAAATAGCGCATAATTGCATATATCTATGATCGCACTCGAAAGCAAAAAAAGAATGCCTCTAAATGAATCACGAAGCACGGATTTACACTCTTAAATTTTGTGTCGCACTGTTCCTACCTTCCGAGGTTGGAAATTCTTATTCGTGCCTCTTTAATCTTTCCGGCAGTGTTATTCTAGGATCAAGTGAAAAGTTGCCTAAATCACCGACCGGGTATACGATTAAGTATTCATGCAATAATCCGACAGAAAAAGCGTAGGGGATGTGGAATTAAAAAGTAAGCAGAGACTGGACCCAGGAAAAAAGTTTTTTGGAAGGACGGACGTCCCTCCGGTCAGATTGTCCAACAAGCTCTGTTGCCATTATTACACTCAGTGGCGTATGTAGGATGAGGTTCTGGGGGGGGGGGGGGGGGGGAGGAGGACAAAAACCTCCCAACGGAGGGCCTTCCCCGGAAAATGTTCATTATTTTAACTCCATAAAACCCCACTTTTCAACAATTTCAGTCATGAAAAATGTAAGAAAATATTTTCCACTATTTTCCCCTAAAAGACTTTTAAAAAAATGGAAAACAGTTTGTACAAGACCAAATGGAATGTTTTCTTTTAGGTATGAGATGGAAAAAATCCACTAACTTCCTGCAGAAAAAATGAGATAGGTAGATTCTTCAATTCCTTACATTGAAAAATTTTGATCAAATTATTTTTGTGCCAAAGTACCTAACCTAACAATTTAATCATCTAGACAAAAATATTGTGATTTTCTCTTTCCACCCGATTTTTCTTCCTTTCCCTTAA